AATCGCAATTAATTGATGATTTTCGTGATTAATCGCGATGGTTGACAAAGTCATCGATTAATCGCGATGCACGAAAAAATTATCACTTAATCGCGATTAAATGACCATTTTTTCCCGAATCGCGATTAAGCGTCGATTTTTTCAACCATCGCGATTAATCGACAAAAATGAAGCGATTTTCAGCACATGGGTAGGACTAGTACAGCTCGAGCTCCTGATGACGTATATCACGTTTAAAAGATTTTGAAACAACGGCATCGTAGCCTTCCAGACCTGTAGAAATGCCATTTACCAGAAGAACAGATCTTTTCGGGGCACTGCCATCACTTTTTAGCGAAAGATTTTCATGAGCTGGTACCATCAAATTACGATCTCTATGTGCAGCGCTGCAAGATCCCTAACGGACAAAAAGTTCCAAAATGTTTAGCAATTTTTTCGAAAAGTAGGCCTTTTTTTTAAACCATACTTCTCTCATAAACTCATGTCAACGCACGACAACAAGATACGCATTCGAGGCATCTTTTCAAGCTCTATCCGATGAAGTGGTTCCCTAATGTTAGAAAAAAACAACTCTTAAAAGCGATTTTTCCGGTTTTACAAAGTCTGAGTACGTGCTCCAGCATTCCACGGGATTGCAGGAAGTAGAATAACATAAGTTTCGCATGTACTTGACGTGGGCCTTAGAGAAACAGGTTTTTGCCTTTGCCCACAGTCAGAAAAAGTGTTTTCCCACCAAAATACCACAGGGTTTTCGTCTATTTCAAAAGTGCTTGAGCAAAGGCAAAAAACTATTTTTATAATAAATCTAATATATGCAAATTCTAATACTAAAGATTTCAAACTTTTTTTTACAATATCGGCCGTTATAAAGCAGAGATAAAGTGTGGCAAATAACGGCATTTCTTCTGTAAGAGGACCTCTTACAGAAAATAAGAGATAGATCTTTTAGTGACGGTAAACTTAAAGGTACATATCGGTTGCTGCAGTCAATGTGAAAATACAAGCGGTCTCGCTAAATCCTTGGTGCGAGCGCGGACCGAAGGGAGGCTTCAGCAATATCTAGAGTACCTGAGGAATGACTAACATCTCTTACAAGTTTTCAATCAGTTTCTGAGCTGATCTGAGTGAAAAATGATGAGCGGCCATAGTTAAGCTGCATCTGGAAATCTCTATAAGGTTTTCAGAAAACCTTTTGAGTACTCTACAAAAGTAGAGATAAAAGCAGCGACGATAAAGAAAACCTCTCTATTGCAGCAAAATTTGGGTCTTCCGCTTGAAGTTGGTTAGAATCTTGACCAATGCTGGATATTCTTTTTCAGCCAAAAGCAAATGAAAATGAAACCGGATGATATCTTGTATATATTCAGACAAATGAATTGTTTTTCGGCCCGCTCATTCCTTCTTCTGTGTATAAAGAGAAACCGGAATTTTGGTTCTGATGAAACAAATATTGGACGGTGTTTGACGTACACGAGATAATTGTTGCTCTTCGTGAAAAAACACCATTTCCTTCTTTAATTTTTTCATCAATCCATGAGATATACTAAGCATTGCTTGTAGTAGTTGATTAATATTGAATAGGGGTATGGAAGGTCCAGATTTTTCATTCTCAACGGAGGTGATCACATGAAACATAAGCTGTTTCACGGTTTGGCCAAATGTTACGGCATTTCATTTTTTCGTCTTCTGTGCCCCTTATCTCGACAAGGAAGCAATGTTTATCAATGAAATTTATACCAATGATGGATATTAAGGAGTTCTACTACCAAAAACAATTTGAGCTTGATTGATCAACTGGATCAAAAGTTAAAGTCAAAATAGAGGCCGTTACAGAATTTCAAAAAATGCAAGTTTTTTTAGGAGTATTCCAGTAAAATGTAAATTATTCAACCTCAAATTAATTTTAAAATGATCGCTTAATTACGAAATTAAAGCTCACAATTTGGGCTATCATCAGAAACACACTTTTGGAAAACCGATAAATTAGGAACAATTCGTTTCGATCTGCGTAATTTTTTTACTACATAAGCTTTATTTCTCCCACTGCTATCTAAATATATGTAGAACATATGCTTCGTATAGCATTATTCCATCGAAAAAATTTGTTAAATTCTATGTAGTAAAAAACGTATGCAGATCGAAACGAATTGTTCCAAATTTATCGGTTTTCCAAAAGTGTGTTTCTTGGTTTTCCGATAATGTAGAAAATTCGATACTCCAGGTCGGAGAAGACGAGCTCGAAACCTTCATAAACTTTCCTGATTCGTTTTTATAAAGGTATTGTGACTATATTTTTGGTCTGCAAACTAATGTTTTTATCTTCGCACTATTGTTTACCTTTGTTCTTGTTATTCACTCATCTCATGTAACTTTTCTAACTCACATAACTTCAATGATATCATTTTCTGTTTTTTTCTTCGTTTTTTGTTGTTGTTGTTGTCTTTATGATGGCTGTCCGGATAGGCCAGATGAACAAAAATAAAGCTAATTATCATCATCAACTTTTCTACATCTTGATTATGAAGAAAACGGTAACTGATGACCGGTTCTAGGTACTTCGTATTTTCGTATCTTTCTATGAGGATATATGTCTCATTTTTTCATGTTGTTTTCAGTCTCTTGTTTTCATTTTTTGTCGTTGTTAATGTTATTTTGAATAAAATCAAGTGGATCTATTAAAAGTTGTAATGCCTAAAGATCAGAAATTTTTGAAAGAGCCGAACGGTCCATCAGATGAGAAGGCTCGAATTTTTGTTAACTTGAGCAAAGCTTAAAAATACATCATTAGACGCAGTTTTTCACGGTGATTACAAATCTGTACTCAAAAACAAATGAAAGTACTACTACTACTAATAATAATATAATAATATCCATCATTGGTATAAATTTCATTGATAAACATTGCTTCCTTGTCGAGATAAGGGGCACAGAAGACGAAAAAATGAAATGCCGTAACATTTGGCCAAACCGTGAAACAGCTTATGTTTCATGTGATCACCTCCGTTGAGAATGAAAAATCTGGACCTTCCATACCCCTATTCAATATTAATCAACTACTACAAGCAATGCTTAGTATATCTCATGGATTGATGAAAAAATTAAAGAAGGAAATGGTGTTTTTTCACGAAGAGCAACAATTATCTCGTGTACGTCAAACACCGTCCAATATTTGTTTCATCAGAACCAAAATTCCGGTTTCTCTTTATACACAGAAGAAGAAGAATTTTAGTGTCAAATATTAAGATTATTTTTTCATAGAAACAAACCTCAAAAACACAGGTCCATTGAATTCAACACGTTTTATAACAAAACGGCCGTAATTATTTCAGAAAGCTGGATTAATTAGCTGACAACGGCACTAAATTTATTGACACGACGTAATATCGACAAATAGTAGCGAGGAAAAAAGGTCGATGTGGTTAGATGAAGAAGGACAAGGCGTCTTCATAACAATGAAGGAATGATTTTGTGAAATGGGTTAATGAAGTAGCCATGTCTCTTCATCCAGAACATGATAAATATATCATAACCACCACTCGTGACGTTTTTCAATCGTTCATTTTTCTAGGTAATTCGGCTAAATCTGCATTATAATGAATAATGCTACTTGGCACAATGAATTAACCGACGCGACAAAACTGTCGAAAAGGGCCGGGAAAAAAGGACAAATTGCTGATTGATTGTAGCATCTAAAGTTAAATTTGATGACTATCATACAAAAACGGAGTTAACTGAGTTACCATTTAATAATGCTTCAAAAAAAATTTATAAAACGGACGAAGCAGCGCAAAGACATGGTGTTCAAGTTTTACGTTTTGTCGATTAAGCATTGTGTTCTAGATTCAATAGAATTGACATGGACCAGTTTAAATAATTGTATCAGACAGCGAAATGCTGGGTTTGCTTTAAATGATGTTCATCGGTTATCGGAAGATTGGCTTTCTGCCTGTGATACTACAGCTGCGTAAAACACGAAGAAGCATTTAGAAAAGCAAACATTTTGGTAGAAGAAATTGAAGAAGAGATTGTTAATGATGATTTCAGTGGATCAGACTCAGATGAAGATGATTAAAAACTTTTCGGCACATATTCATCTTGCTCTAGCATTATTTTACTCTTTTTTAGTTTGTGCATGTGAAATAATTATAATAAGAAGTGTCTAGTGCCATGTTGATGCATCCTATTGCTGAGTTTCTATAATCAACAAAAATATATTAGTAACGACAAGAAAACATTGCCGCGAGATTCAGCATGGTAGAAAACCTATGTTTTCATTTATTTTCAAGGTTCCCAGCCATACAAAAATGGATGTCCCAGAGCTCGCAGGAAAACCTGTTTCATACGGGAACGGCAAATGGGTGATCTCCAACTGGCGTGGATCGATAGAGGACGCCCGATGATTCAAGTCAAGTGCTCGACATGTAAAATCCGTCTTTTAGGGGGGTTCCTTCGATCCATTCTTTCAAAAACTGATAAGGTATACTACCTGTAGGTGGTATTTAGGACGCGACTTTTTCATAGATTCATTGCATCTGATTTTGGCGACATAACAGCGAAAACCCCCCCGTCACTATCGCATTTCGTTCAAATGTTATTTAGAAAATAATCATATCCATTCTATTTTGCTGTGAGCAATACATTGCGAAATGTAAGCTAGAGATTTCTGCCAAGAGTGCTAATCAAACTTGAATTTTTAATTTAAAGGATAATTTTCATACAGGTATATTTGTTGTACTTGTTGATATTATGATGTTGGCTTACAGCTGTCGCAGAGATCTGAATTTTAGTTGTTTGTTGATTGTGTCAGATCTATGTGCAGTAGTACTATTTTACTTATCCAAATGTTATTAAGAATGTACACAAGATGAGATATTATAAACTATGAAAGTTATCTGGTCGAATGTCTCATTGTTTTTCTTAATAAGAGGGAAACAACGCTGTATGACAAGTAATTATATTCACCTACATTTTAGTACATTTCTTACTGCATCAAATAAAGCAAAATAAAACGTGAACAACTCTTGCTTTCCATAATCTACAATTTGCATTTCTCAAGGATGAGATTATATCTTTAGGAGAGCCTCTCACTACTAGAACACTTGTGATGGTTTATTCTTGCTGACAACTAAATCATGCATTTTTCCATTACTATTTGAAGAATGCGACGTGAACTAAAAGTTGTCTAATGTTCTAATCTTCGACACATATGCGTATACTTTTTATATGTATGGTATTATTACTACGTTGTTTTTGTTCTTCTTGAAAGATAATATATTGATTGTAAATTATATTTTTTCCTTTCTTTTTCTCATCAAGGTCTACATGTACACTTGATCATAAATCCAAGATCATTAGTCTTTGAAAAAGACGTAGTTCTAATAGAAGAAGAACAACAACAACAAAACTGTCTGTTGTTTTAACATGAACGAATATGAAAGAAACAGTATAAATGAGATCTCTCTATACTGAATATATGTCTGATACATGAATCGATAGATGTAGAGAGAAAGAATAAACAAATGACGTACACAAAAAGATGATGATAGAAGGAAGGATTTGTGTAACTGAAAGATCTGACACAAGAGAAATCCTCTAGTTGTATATTTAATCATCAAATTCAGCTATATGCTAGGTATAATGGATCCACGTCGTTTTACTCTAACGCAAATTGCTTCAGAAGCTTGGGATAGTAAAGTCGTCGAATATGATGAAGACGATGAGACGGCGACAAGTGGTGCAGGAAGCTTTACACAAAGACGAAGAAGAGCTCGAGTGAGTAGAAAATAATTGAACGTGTATTTCTTCACAATGATATTCTTAGATAATTTCCATTTCATGGAAGTCATCTGTTGGCACATCACTTATTCAAGATGTGTCTCGCATACTACTGTCAAGATTTAAAGCCGAGTATAATCGGGAGACAGTAAGAAAATCGAAAGAGTAGAGAAGAGGCAAGAAAATTTTAAAATAGAAGTAAAAGACGCAAAAACAGGAGATTCTCTTGGTAAGAAGGTCAGAAAGAGATAGACTATGTGTATTTGATTGAAGAATCGTTTGTCATCGTGTATAAGCAAGTGGGACCACTGTACAGTCATTATTAATCCGCCTAAAATGTCTTTAATAAGCACGAAAGACGCTCTCTCTTGTCCAGTAGTTACGATTGAAAATATGGGAGTTGAAAATCAACGTCCTCTTAAAGGTGAATGTTTCTACTTACGATAAATTAGTCTGCATCTTTTTTATGCAAAATCCAAGATAGAGTATTGTGGGTGTGTTCAGTTTGAAAATGAAGCAGAATAGTTCTTTCAAGATAAATTTCTTAATTATATATTCTCGAATATATCTGAATGTCCGCTACTTTTACAGTTTAGGACAGCATTGGAAGATTTTTGTTGTTATGAGTGGCGAACCACCATATTTATCTCTTTCAGGTTTTTCGTCATAAAACACTTAACATGATCATAAACTGTTTTACTAAAGCATGCCTCGTTCAATGTTTCACTAGTGGCGGCATCAGGGTATTTATTTCTGATCAATAAGCGTTATCCCAAAGTCTTAAACGTTGTCAGAACAAACGTGATCCAAATATGTTTAAGTGGGTTGAGCCCATCTATTGGGTACGTCACTATGTCACAGTGGGTATCGAGGCGGATATTTGGTGAAAAATTGAAAGTGAGCTTTTTCAAGATTTAAATAGTGTCACATATACTTCGATCTACGGGCCATCTAATAGCGTAAAATTTTTTGTTCCAAGTGCTCTGTTTTAGGAAAAATGTGTGGTACCTAAATACTAGCAGTCTCGGAGAAAAAACATTTTTTTATGTCATTAAGGCAAATTATATTTGTAAACAGTACCTATTCTGAATCTAGCTAGACACACTCAGCTATCTATCGAGTTTAACCAAGGTTTTTTGGAAAACCTTGGTTTTTATAGTAAAATCTATTTTTCTCAACTCAAAAACACTGTTATTGAAAACTAATGACATATTTAAAATCAGCGCATAAAACTACGTCGAAGGTGTATAATTTTGGTAGTTTTACAAATAAAAACATTTTTGGTAAAAATTTAGAGCCCGTGCCCTCTCATCGATTTTTCATCGAAAAAAAACGTTTTTTCTTTTTAACTATATTAATATTTGAGACATAATTAAGCAATATTATGTTTAATTGTTTTTTAAGTAAAAAATACCACATGTCCGCCAATCTTGCAAGATCCTACAGATTCTATTGAAGGATTGCAGTAGGATTTTATCTGATTTTCTGCTGGCTTATCCCACTAGTTTTATTGTTTTTATTTGTTTAATTATTCTCTGATCTTAGCTGACTAGTATCAGTGATTCTGAGCTGGGATCAGCCCAAGACTTGTGAATACTGGCTCACACGTCGAACAGTAGCGAGTTTTGATGGCTCACAGTGTCCGGTGCGAAAATTGAGCTTAAAAGAATTTTTTGTTTTCTACAATAGAGTTGTACTTATATTAGAGTTACTGCAAAACACGTTGGTGATTGTGTTCTCGTATAGAAAAGAAAAGAAAATATATACAGAACGAAAAAATAGGAATTCTGCAAAATCCTACACAAAATCTTACCATGGAAATGCATAAGATTCCTGTTATAGGAATCCTGTAGGATTTTTCTACCGTCCTATATCAAGAATCCTACAGACTACGGAATTTCTGCCGTAGGTTTTTGTATGACCCTACAGTAGAAATCTTATGAAATCCTATTATCAGTAGGATTCTATAGGATTATTTGACCTAAGATGCGGGAAAAACAATGATACCATTAGTATTTTCCATTTTTCTTATATCTCTTAGATCTCCTGGATCTTATTCTTTTTCCAAGAAATTCGCTATATCAAAATCTATAAAGAGTTTGATCAAAATGTTTGATGGTTAAAACATGACAGAAAAAGTCTGGCAGAACACCAACAAGTCAACTTAAATTTATTCTAGAAAAAGTCTGAAGTTCTTTCAGCCATTTTACGTTCATCAAAATGAATCGGAGTAACATTTTTCTGTACTTTCAAGTGCACTCTTTCTTGTTGTACACTCTTTTGTAGAAAAAAATCCTTTGAATAAAGTTAGTGAATTATAAAGCTTATTCATCATACATGGTTAAAAAATCATTTTTCTGATATCGTTTGTTCTTCAATCACTAGTGAAAACTTTTCATTTAAATTTGACTACATGGTATATAATAGAGGAATCATTTCTGTCGAAAATAAAAAGAATATGTGCTCGAAATATAAAGTTTTGATCGGCTTATATACGTTTTACTGGAAGCACTAAGAAACTTGTTTCACGTGAAAAGATAAGCCTTTTAAAGACTACAATACGGTTGATGAATCTGTTTGATATCTTATGCGTTGATATCTTATTTTTGTTTTGAAAAAAATCGAAAAAATTCATAGTCGTCCAAACAGCGAATTATCATTTTATTAAAGCCAAATATGGTTAATTGCATACTAAATTACTTCATTAGTTCAATTATCAATCAGTGTCAGCACAAGGCTGTTTCTGCGGTAGCAACTGATAATTTTTTGAGTTGTAAGAATCATATGATATGACACGTAGTGATGTCTGTCACTCTGGCAATTTTTGGCAATTACTGTTTTTTTCTTTTCTTCGCCTGTGATTCACTTATTGATCGAAATTCTGCATAAACTCTATACACAGGCATAAAACGTACTATGGATCAAATTCGGTTGTTCATAGAAACAGGGAGACTCATTTCCTGTATGATTTCATCTTCTAATTAATCGGGTCAGCAGTGAACCTAGAATTTGGCATAAAATAACGAAACAAAACACTAAAAGATTATATATGACATACAGAGTGAATATTAGAAATGTATGCTGAAAGTGTTGACGCTGATATGACAGTGACATTCAAAATTTTTGACAATATAACCCGAATCTAACTTGATCAGACCAAGAATGACTATATCATAGATCATCATTTTTTGAGATTAACGCTTGCTGGAATACTTAACATTAAATTAGCTAATATTGTGAATGTTTCAGAGTAGCTAACTGCCAGTAGGCTACAGGTCAAGGAGTACTGATACGAACCTGATGCTGCTGGTTGGTATAGGTTGCTTTGTCAATGTGACATTATATTTTTGTGAACTAAAAGAGCTAGACAGCTTATAATATCACAATATATAATATTATATACATATATAGATATAGTGTACACACTATGTGTATAAAATATGACAAAACTTTAGTGAATATGATGTACTATTGAAAGGAATACTCAACAATATTTACAGATGGTAGATTATGCTCAGCATATAGATAACATCATTGTATCGTCTTTAATTGAAAGTAGTAGTGCATCAGTGAAAGTGTTCTTTTTCTCATCTTGTACTTTTCTCCTCCACAGCTGGTATTTTAATCGAAATACCAAAAAAAAGATTAATTGTTCTATTTTCTCAAGTAACAGAAAGTGTAACTTCTTTGAAAATATAATTTTTCGAGCCATACAATTTCCATAAACTATACGAGTGCATCATTTAGACTTTTATACAACATTATTATGAGGAAAATATATGTCCCAAAAGAACGATGTGTGTGTTTTTTTTCTTTTGCATATTAACTAGATCGTGACAAAAAAATGAAAGCCCATTAGTATAACAATAATAGTGATAAAAATACATAAAAAATGAAAAGATAATAGAGCTTTCGTGCCTATTAAAGACATTCTGATGATAGTTGTTGGTATACACTGTTAATGAGACTGCACGTTGTTATTTCATAATGAAAGAAATTTATGTCGACGTTCTTGAAATTTTTGAATGCTCAAAAAACGGCAAAGTTTCATGCCACAACGTGGAGGAGTACAGGTGAGACAATAGGACCATGAGATGATAAATAGTATAGTCGTGAGAATAATCTATCATGTCTATTAGCTAATTATCAAAAGTGACACTTCATGCGGTAATCGCAATAGTGCTTGTCAACAGTTTTTTGTTTTTTTTATGAAGAAAGAAACGAGTTGTTAATGTGAAAACTGTACATTTTGTACACGCATCATATTCATTGATAAAGTGTTAAAAGTATTTATTGCTGTTGTTGTTGTCGCATAAAAGAGCTAACTTATCATTAGTTGTATGATGGAACAACGTCGTACTCAAATAACTGCATATGGAAAAGTATAAAGTATATTTTTTATTTTAACAATAAAATGTTTTGTTTGTGTTTAGCGTGATCTTAATTCATTGCCAGAAAAAGTATTACTTTATATATTTTCGTTTTTACCGCATCAAGAATTAATTCGGTGTGCACGTGTATGTCGTTTTTGGAGACAATTAACTCAAAACTCTAAATTATGGAAAACTGTGTTTCTACGTCCAGAATATAATGGATTACATGTGAAAAATATTGATCAATTTTTAACATTGGTTGGCCATCGTTTTTCATTGTCTCTACAATACATTGAATTACCAATGGAATTGATAACGGCTGATGTTCTACACGAATTGGCTAATCGATGTCCAAATTTAAAATATATGACATTAGATTTTTCAACTGCCATGCAATTACATGATTTCAATGATCTCAATGCATTTCCATGTAATTTAAAAATGTTATGCATTTGTCTATCAGAAGTGATTTTCTTAGAAGGTTTTATGAGACGAATTTACACATTTTTATCGTCATTGGAAATACTTCATGTTATTGGTGCGTTCATGAGGGTAGATTTAGGGGTCACATATATCTAATGTATTTTAATGTAGGAACAATTGAAAAATCAAATGAATTGGAGGAAGAAGTATACGAAACGATTAATATAAGTAAAATAAAAGCTCATACACCAAATTTACGTGTAAGTTTCGAAAGCAATTATTTTTGTTTCTATGGAACTATTTCTGTTTTCTTCTATTTTGAGGTAATCAATTTTTATGGAATTTACTTTGTCGATGATAATCATATTGAAATAATAGCATCCGGTTGTATACATCTTGAATGTTTAGCGTTAAATTTTTGTACAAGAGTGAAAGGAACAAGCTTCAAGAACCTATTACTACGATGTAAAAAAATGCAATGTCTTCTTTTACAGAACACAGGTAAATCTAACATTGAGATTATATTAATTTCAACGCCTATACTTTTAACACATAGATAAGATATTTTCTCTTTTATAAAGACTGTTTGTTCTGTTAATTATTGGAAAAAAACGCAAGTAAATTTAATAAATTACTGTTTAAGGTATCGAAGATAATGGTATATTATCGGCTGAATGGGAATCATCATACATCAATGAACTTGATATATCATCAACAGAACTAACACAACAATGTTTATTAGATTTATTTTCTCGTTTACCAAAATTGACTTATTTAGCTGTGCCAAATTGTGATGGTTTTACGGACAAAGTTTGTATATTTATATACCATCTGTAATATTTATAATATACTGGGTGGCCCAGAAACAACTTACTCTCACTGTATTTATTGACTTTCTTGTGTATAAATATAATTGAACTTTTTACCATCAGTTTAGTCGAGTAGAGCAAAGATTTCTGGACAAAATGAGACGTCTCTGAGGTCTCTAAGAACTTTTCTCATGAAACACCATTCAGTTTACGGAAGGTCCCATACCACCAAATTAATCGGAAAACAAGAATACGCTCTTACGGCCTTCCGTAAACTGAATGCTGTTTCTTGAGAAAAGTTCTTAGAGACCTCGGAGACGTCTCATTTTGTCCAAAAATCTTTGCTCTACTCGACTAAACTGATGGTAAAAAGTTCAATTATATTTATACACAAGAAAGCCAATAAATACAGAGAGAGTAAGTTTTTTTTGGGCCATCTTGTACAAAGTAATTGTACTATAGGTATTAGAACTATTGATTGATCAAGGAAAATTATCGAATGCACGTGCTATTGATTTAAGCAATACAGTGAATTTAAATTTTGAAGTCGTTTTTACTTTATTAAAACGTCATGGAAGACATCTTCAAGGAATTTGTTATGCAGGAAATCCAAAAGTAACCGAACAATTTTGGACCAATACAATTAAACATATGAAAAATATAAAGTAATTTTATTCTTTTCATTTCATTATTTTTCTTCTGAAAAACCTAGTCAAAGTTCTATTTATAAATAGTAAATTCACATATTATTTTATTTTATTTTAGAATAATGGTTATGGGTACGGCAAATGGATGGTTTAAAAAAATTTCGACAAGAATTCATGTCGATCAAATATTGGAAGCATGTGCAATTGATTGTCAAAAATTAGAACGTTTGGAAATTCAATGGGATGAAGAAACATTAAGATGGAATGAAAATAGTAGTAAATTTATTGATCATATTAGGTATATAATGAAAATTAAAGAATTAAAGATACAATATTTTATTATATATTTATTTTAGAATTCGTTGTACAAAATTACAATCATTGGTTTTGTCTGATGGTGAATATTATGAAGTTGTTAAATCAAATTTTGAACGAGCTGATCGAAATCGTGTTGTAAGAACAACTACAGCATATCAAACATCAATTGTTAGTCTACTTCATTACTATAATGAATTACGATTTAACTAAAATAGAAATAAAATATTAATTGAACTCTTTAAAATTAGATCTAGTTTTAATAATCGTTACTTTTATTTAACGAAACCTTAAAATAATATTAGTCATAGATCTGATTCGTCGAGTCCGTAATTTATCTATTGATTATTACTTATCGTTGTGTTTATTATTTCTACTATGAATATTTTTTGTACTTCATCTATGATGTTATGCAAAGAAGTCAGTCTTACTGAATTAGACCATCAAAATACGTAAAGAAATCTTTCCTTCTTTCAGATAAAATGAAGAGTAAGAGATAAATACATACCTTGCATTATAGTTTTACTGTGGTTCTCCTCTCTTACGGATTAAAACAAAACTGACTTCTTTGGAGTCTGTACACAAACGACATCCACTTATTAGAGGAGATTATTGAAAAAATGATATCGGACGAGAGGTACCATGGACAATAATGTGGACATTTCGCTCAAAAATGAACGTTTGCAGTTTTTCATTTCAAATAGTGGATGATAATCTCCAAACTGTTGGCTATCTTTTCTAACAAAATTTTTGGTTTGAGTTATATAGTATCAGCTAGTAAACATGACCATAAAAGCAACATATATGATAAACTTTTGAGCATGTTAAAGAATAATTTGGTTTAAAGGCGATTCTATGTATAAATCTCTTAATTACGATTGTTTGTTTTCTGAAAAAAATTACGCTGTTTGAGCCTAAGATGTTAGAAAAAATTCGTGTTTTCCACGCTAACAAAATATTTCAAAAACGGTTCTCTTAGTCTTTTCCACCTTTCTAACAGAGCTCAACCTTTTCAAAAATCTTCTTCGAGCTATACTACACATACAAGATTAGCATAGTAATGCATATTTGTTCCTGGACTACAATGGATTCCTAAACATCCATCTTGTCATTAAAGTAGACATTATGCAGTATGAGGAGCTAAATTGAGCTAAAAATATATCTTTTTAAACAAAAAACAAATCCAATATCTGCGTGATCTGTCAGAATTGCCCAAGTTCGCCTCAGATGACATCAACTTTTTACCATTAAAAATATTTCAAAAGAAAAGTTTTCTTACTACAAGGTTTTCAACAAAATTTAACGAATATGTTGCTCTAGATAGCATCAACTGCTGGGAACTTGAGCAATCGTAATTATGTGCATGTGACTGTTTTTAGAGTGTTTTAGATCAAAAGACTACTCCAGTAATTTATATCAGAAAAAATAAAAATAAAAAGAACAAACATACAGTGGTTAGAGAAGAAGCTTTAGCTCATTATTTCTTAGTGAAAAAAAATATAATTCTTTTTCTTTTGTAGCATTGGGGAGCTGAGGTTGCAGAAGCTGACTCAAAGAGAGAAGAAGGTTCAAACAAGCAAAAAAGTGGTTCACGTCATTTTTGTAAAGCTACTTTACTCGTAGCCGATAGATATCGACTGAATATTAGAGAAAATAATGAAAGAGACGATTTGTAATAACATCAACTTTTTCCTTGTTGTTTACCGTTACTAAATCCAACCATTTAATATTGATACAACTTTTTATTATTTTTTTTTCTATAAATTAATTTAACAACGGTATATGTACAAAAAGATTTGACATTTAACATGAGATATTAAAACAAACTATTCTTAAAAAGACTAACAACTAATGTTCTAAGATTTATCTGCATCGAATTTAACGACACTTCCCGTTGGTGTATCAATTATAGTTGCTAAATTAGAGCCGATTAAATCATTCAAATGATAATCAAATCCAAATAGACATTGTTTTTTCATATCACGTTCTTTTAATTCATTCAACGGTATCTCGCGATATTTTCTCATTCGCAACGTATGAAGTAACATTCGTCTTCCCCTCTTAACAACTGATATAAATTTGGCAATATTCGGTACTGAAAACCAAAAGTGATCAATATCTCTAACTAATAAAACACCTAATTGAATTAACAATTGAATATCGGACTTTTTTAAATCATATTTTTCGTCTAATAAATCTCGATCAATTGATAAACGAAAGCAATTTGGTAAAAGTTCACTGAGAAATTTCTTTGTCACTTGTTTTAATTCAAATGTTGATAAAGATAGTTGTTCAAATTGTGCTTCAATGAGTAGACGATAATCATCGGTGAACATAATAATATCACCCAAATCACTATGAAATAAACGAATTGTATTTAGTTCAAATAATTTCTGAATATCACGATCAACATTTGTACGTGATGATACAAGATTATATAACTGATGTTTAAAATATAGTGGAGGTATACGATGAGTAATAAATGCAGCTTTTGATTGATCAATAAGATGAGTTAAAGCAATATAGGTGTCCGAACGAAGAACAGAATTGTCAACTTTTGCTGTTATTACAGTATCTAACTCAGTTGAAGATTTACTACGTTTCGATGATTGAAGTAAAGACGAATACGTCCGTTTCATGTCAAATCTGAAAATAAACAAACTAGAATAATAAACTCCGACTCACTGAGAATTGCATACAGCCATTGGATCACTCTTGATACATTTTAAATAGCAAACATCTAAACGAACATATATTCCTTTGCTGGTACATAATATTAGACTGTTTTTTCCAAAAATACCAGAAAACAAGTGCCGATTTACATGTTTTCATTCGAGGATCATTAAAACTTACTCGATGATGTTTTTATTTTCACTGCAGTGTAACGTATATTCCACAATTTTGTTGCATTTTTTTGATTTATTTAACGATTTTTTCAGAATCACATCGCATACCCCTTTTCCGCATGAGATAATAGCGAAATAAACAAATGAAACGCATAATAATACATGTAACGGAATGAAAAAACAAAAAAAAAAATACCGAAATAAACTCATAGGAAAAATGAATGAAGTTTATATCTATGCTGGGGAGATTGGAGCAAACTCTGTAGTTGATTCCATAGGGATAGGTGTCTCTTGTACATCATTTGCAGCCATTACAGATACAGCTGAAAGATCAGTAATAGCCGTAGTTGGAACAATATTTTCTCGATTACCAGTTGCAGTTGATGTTGGAGGAATATAATCAATATTTAATACTTTATGCGCTTGTTGAAAGGCTAATTGTCGAAGAACAAATTGTGCATATGTTGTCAATTCATTTCGTTGCTCAGGTGTTAAATACGCGGCTGCATCGACAGGATCTTTTTCACATGGATCAAACAGTCCAGGACCAACATTTGGCAACAAAACACCACCACTTAAACATTCGAAAATATTACGGAATAATACATGTGCGGGTGGAGAATACGTTTGTACGTTAGATGAATGTCGTTTATAAGATTTTTCTACTAATAAAGCTAAACACCATAAATTTAAATGTGCTAATTGTTTACATTCAAATTGCATATAACGTAAAACACGCAAAATAATTAAATCAGTACGTTTTTGTAACATGCATCCGGTAAACCAGTTTGAATGACGAATTTCAGCAGCAGCTTCCAAACATTTGACTTTATTTAACATATCAACAGGATCCGGATTCAATTTATTTATTTCAATACGTCCTTCATCGGATAAATTTACAAAATTTTCATCTCGTAAAACAGGCGACGTTAACATAATACGAATTCGATGTGTGGGTAGAAGATTACATTTGATATAGATGCAAGCATCATCCATACTGGCTTGAATATCATACAACACTTCTTCTTTGTCACTAGTTAACATTTTCAATGTAGAAGTTAATTCTTGGCTAATCTTTGTTAATAGATCTATGGTTGGCTTATTTGCACAGATAAGAACCAAACTATATTCACGATCACGTTTCAAAAATACACGCATAGCTAAAACGCCAACTTTCATGGCGCCTTTCAACATTCTATAAAATAAACAGAAAACAGATGAAGAGTGAGCTATATGCGAAAATAAAAATTTTTTTTCATCTCTTACCGAAATGCTTCTGTTGGATCTTCTGTTTGCTCTTCACAAGTCAAATTCACATGTTCGGGTAATCGTGGTGTCACTTTTTCATTTTTTGCTTTGCTATCTTCCATCATTTTATCTGATGTTAATTTAAGTGCACGTTCAATATCTTCCACTAGTTTATGAATTGCTGCTATTGTCATGTCGGATTCAATGATATCATCATGTTTGGCAGTCAAATGTCGTTTAAGCGAATGAAAATCATCATATTTTCTATCATATAGATTCGAGTCTTGACGATGATAATGGAAAGAGGAACCCATTGTAATATGAGATGGGAGTCTTTGTTGTTGTTGTTGTTGCTGCTGTGGCGTGAAATTCATCATATTTGCACCGCCACCGCCAAATGATTGTCTCATCAATGGATACATTTGTGGCTGTTGTTGTTGTCGTCCATGTTGATTCCCATGTCCTACAATACATCGAGGAAAAAGAGAAGGAAAATTAATTAGGTTAATACAAAAGAAAAAGAGAAAACTTGATTTTAGAAAAGATTTTTTAGATTGTAACATATAGACTCAGTTGTCAACTTAGCGTTGTAGTAAACGGAGGTTTTCTATGAAATATAAAGAACTTGTTTTTTTCTATAGAAATATTAATTACTCTTGCTTATTGAATACGTCTCAAATATCAGCACTTATACAAATTGCGTCTAAAATCAAGTTTTCACATCTAATATCAGTGGAGACAGAAAAAACACTTACCCAGCAACTGCTCGTATTCAATTTCAATTTTTTTTTGAATGAATTGAAAGCAGTTTTATAGAATATTTTTTCCTTCACAAAGAACCCATGTATGTCTGATCTGCCCAGCGATTCCGATATTATATATACGTGTGTGCGCACAGCAGGGCTAACAAAGGTTCAAAAGCACAGAGTAAACCTTGGGCAGATTGAACTACATAGTTGCGTCTTTTTTCCCTTAAAACGATCTCTCAATTATTCAAAAAAAAAAAACACGGTCAATCGGCAACCATGATGTCGACGACGTATATCACTGTGGAAACTGAAAGGAACATTACGCATGATCTCCAATAAGAAGTTTATTGAATGGGCAGAAGTACACATAAATAATAATTTACCTCCTCTTCCACGTCCCTGATGTCTACCTCGTTGAGATGATTGTACTTGTTGATTATTTTGTGTTTGTGCTTCATGCTTTTTTAATTTTGTATTCGCTAATGCTTGTTCTGCAGCAGCTTGCTGAGAACGTTTGATACTTGTTCCAAGACCCACATATGTTTCAGTACCCAGTGTTAAACGGACCTCAAATTGTTTAGCATGCGCCGGACCTTGTTCATTAATCAAATCGTATTTTGCTGTCAACTTAAAGAGATAAAACGAGATTGCATATTAACATAGTCGATCATTTGGACAAGCTTTTTTTTCTCGTCCAACTCTATAATATTACAAACATTATACCTTATTATATTTGGCTAATTCATTTAATAACTGTAAAACACTTTTTTCCGAATTAGTTCCTTGTTTTACGGGACTTTCTGATGAATGGACGGAATTTTCCGCCTTGGTCGGTGGCACTACTCCGGGAGTACTTGCTATCATCATTGTTGTACTGGGAGTGAGTGCCGTTTGTGGCTGTTGTGTTTGTGACATACATGCTTCACTTGATTGTGATTGTCCGACAGGAACATTCTAAACAAATTATAAAAATTAGATGAACTAGCTTTGGTTCAAACACTTCAGTTATGTACAGCTCGTTGCTTCAATTTTTTTGCATGCTTTTGACCTCGTATATGACTTTCCCACATTTGAATAGAATTTACTTCAATACCGCACGGGTCACACACGTAATTTTCATGTAGTTTTCGCTTTTGTGAAGTACCGGCAGCATTCTGCAAAAATTAAAAAAAGAGACATAAACCCGGTTAGTTTTACTTGTGGTGAAACACTTACAGGATTATAAAGTATTGGGCGCTGCATTGTTTGTTGTGTAAATGGTTGTTGCATTTGATTGTGCATAGGAAACGGACTTTGCATTCTAGGCGTATACATTCCTCCCCGTCCAAACATTATCAACTCTAAATTAGCAAGTAAATTGAAAGGTAAATAACACACTATAGTAGATAATTCATTCACATTGCTACGTTATATTAGTTAGAAACTTAAAAGAGTATTTGGACAACAATCATGATGAAAAGTGAATGAAAGATTTGATTTCAGCCATTTTTATTTGAGATATAAACCTCTCTGCTGAAGTTTATACTGTCTGAGAATTTTGTTTTGAAGTGTTTTTGGGATAGCAGACTTCAGTTCTAGATGCATACTTATATTCTCTACTTTAACTGTGGTATCTGTTTCCTAACAGATTGTAACTGTCGTTTCCCTTGTATTGGTCTAACTTTATGCCAATGCTAATAATATTTGAATAACGATAGTTAAGCCTTACAACTGTTCAGACTATTTTGAACTCAATATATAGTATACAGATCTCAATTAACTTTACAATCAATCAATATCCTTAATTCCGACTTAAGTTTTCGTGACGACTTAACTTTTTATCGACCAATGAGATTCGTTAATGCACTTTAACTTTTGTGGTTTGAACAAGGTGTTAGTTTTTACAGAGTGTGTTTGAATTGGGTTGTTTCGCGAAGCGACGTCCTAAATCAGCCCAGATTAATAAAAGACACTCCATGATTTATTGATATGTTGTAGACTATATCATGTTACCTACACCCCGAATCTGTTTTCAATTAATATTTTTTGTCCCATAGTTAATAGAGGCCTTTTTTTTGCTTGTTGTTCCGATAAAGAAAAAAGAAAGTATTTTTAAAAAATCCTGTAAAAAAGTAGGAGAGATAGTAAACAGAATAAATAAATTCTATCTCGCTGTGTTCTTCTCCTGCTCTTATTTCTTCTGACGTTCGCCAAGGTGGTGTAGTTGGACCGCTTCTATTTTCTTATTTATATAAATGACTTGCCTCTTTCAACTGTGAAATCTCTGTCTTTGTCGATGATGTTTTCTTAATCTTACCTCTTTTTTCTGACCCTTCTGATTTTTCTCATGTTCAGCTTCAACACTGCATCAACTCTATCTCCAATTGGTTCTCTTCTTCTAACCTCATGTCTCTAAATGTTCTCGGTTTCCTTTTTCTTTCGATATCTTTCCTTTTTTTTACAATCAATTGTACTTAAATGCTGTTCCTCTTTCTGTTGTTTCCTCTGTTCGGTATCTTGGTGTTTTTGTTTCGCACGATCTGAGATGGAGTGAGCTTGTGAGGGGCATGGCTCTTGTTTGCCTGCGTAATTTGAGTGCATTGAGTCGTGTGTTTGGACCGTCAGAGGTTCGTTGTCAGATCTACATTTCTTCTATTCTTCCTAAATGGATTATTGTTGTGCCTTGTATGATAGTTCCTTTTCTCTCTCTGTTCTTGACTCTGTGAATAAACTTGCTTCTCATGTTATTTCTCGTAATTTTAATTATCGTTTTTCTAATTCTTTACTTGTATCATAACTTTCTCTTCTAATCCTCTCTCTTCACCGTAAATATTTTAGACTTGTTCAATTTTTTAAAATTTACCGTCATCTTAGTCTTCTCCATTTTTTTTCCTGTTTATCGTCATCACTATGGTTCTTTACGCCTTCATCACTCAAACATGTTCGCATTCCACCTGTTGTTAACGGCCTTTCTTCACAAACAGTTTTCTCCTTTTTTTTTGATAAAACTATCACTAACTGGAATAAATTACCAGAATTAATGATTTGTTTTTCTTCTGTATTATCATTTAAAAGAGCTCTATCTCTACATTTCTTACAGTAAAGTACAGCCATATTTCTAGTCAACCCATACCCGTGCTAGAATAAGTAAATAATACTAATGATTTTTTTTTGTTAGACTCGGATTATCTAGAAGAAATGATCAACAGATATACCTGTCATTAACCTAACTTCTCTTCACACTGGTATAGGTCTATGCATGTTTTACTTTAGAACAAAAATGTGGATGAAATCAACTAATTATTTTGCCTAGCTAATTCACTGACATAAAAATCGGCTACTTCGGGAGTTCTATATTTCTAATTTTTATCCTTCATTCCAGGTGGGAAACACAGCATATGATTACATAATGTTACATTAGTTTCATAAAATTACATAGAAGAAAACCCGTTCTTTCACTGGTATTACGCATGTATCGTTGTACTTAAATCATGTCACTATTTTTTCAAGTGCTTTAGATGTCTATTATTTATTTATTTACGTTATCCATATTTTTTCATATTGGTTATTCACCGCCATCATGTATTTCAAGATAAGCAATGTTTAATAAACTAATTAAAAATTATAATGAAAAAAGAAACATTAGTAATTGTTTATGAAGTATTACAAATAATCTCTTTATGTATTGTCTGGTATAGTGTAAGTGCATTTGGAAATGTTATTGTTAAAGCATTATTAAATGAATTCCCATTTCCATTAACTGTAACACTCGTTCAATTGTTGAGTGTATGGCTATACAGTATACCATTATTAAAATTATGGCACGTACCTCCACCAAATTATTTATATCAAAATAGAATTTATTATTTCAAAGTTATCATTCCATTATCTATAGGAAAGTTTTTAGCACAATTTTCTTCACATGTTTCAATATGGAAAGTACCTGTCTCATACGCTCATACGGTTAAAGCAACTATGCCATTCTTTACCGTGGTACTATCGCGAATTATTCTCAGAGAAAAACAATCATTATCGGTACGTCTGTCTTCTCAATTTTATAACTACTTTGTCTACGGAGAGGATCATTTAGCGAAATTTTTCCTGCTCATTTAATCATAAGTAGTGCAATTATTGGTTGTACTTAGATTTATATGTCACTTATTCCGATTATTGTTGGCGTCATCATCGCAACTGTTACAGAGTTATCCTTTAATATGGTTGGTCTTATCAGTGCTTTACTGTCCACATTTGGATTTTCATTACAAAATATTTATTCAAAAAAAGTACGTTCACTCTTTTTTTGTAATCTATTGTGTTTTTAGTCTTATTTTTTGTCCTATTTTTAGTCTCTCAAAGATATATCAATTCATCATCTGTCACTGTTAGCTATTCTAGCCAAAATCTCCTGGTGTATGTTTGCACCGTTTTGGTTTTTCTATGATGGTATAGACATATATCAAAATGTGAATTACGTGAGTAGGTGTTGCTATACTGTTCTTTTCCTATAAAAATCACATTCATATTAGATTTCATTTAGTTTTACTTTACTTTTCGTTACTTTTTCTATAGCATTCATATTATCCAGCAATAAAAATTATCGGTTATTTATTTGTTGATGGTATTCTAAATTTTATTCATAATGTTGTGGCATTTACAATGATTTCATTAGTGTCACCGCTTAGCTACAGTATAGCAAATAGTTCAAAACGAATTGTTGTTATTGCCGCTTCATTATTCATATTGCAAAATCCGGTGACAAACTCAAATCTTGTTGGAATGGCAGTTGCATTGATAGGCGTATTTTTATATAATAAAGTAAGTTCGTACATGACGTTATCGTATTTGGTGTACATTTTCAATACTAAAGCAGCTGATGAGGGACATACTTTCTGTCTTCTTCTCGTGAGACTCTAGTTAACCTTGAAAACTTTGTAAAACTATTGGTTCAAAACTTTTTAAAGCTGAGTTTCAATACCATTAAGTATATCGACTGCTATGTTATTACGCAGGAGCCACCTTATGCGGTATAGTTTATATTTCTTTAGCGTATTTTCTTATTTTCCTTTTCAAGGCAAAATTTGATCAACGTCGAGCAAAACATAAAGAAGCTATACTACCGTTTGTAAAAAGTGAACCAAACTTAACTGCTAATAGTGATTCTCTACAAATGGACGCAATTCAACAGCTCTATGGTCGTCATGTTGTGTTGAATCCAAATGCTGATTTGACATCTCGACATCATCAATTAGTATCTCAACCAATGTTATCAACGTCGTCAAATGCCAATGGTTTTATTCCACAGTATGCATCTCAAACATTTAAAGATGTTTGATCGTTATCTTCGGTGGTTATCAGGTGATTTTATTTCAAAGCATTTCTTCTCGATGCATTGTTTTGCTGTGATCCATTTCTTTTTGATGAAATATTAATTTATTCTTTGTTGTGCACATCTTTTGGAAAACTGGAATTTTCTCTGACCATTATGTTATATTTGATCTGAATGTTGGTTAAAGGACATGTATCCTAATGAATTTATGTTTGATAGCCGTCTTCTTTCTTACATGAAAGTTTCCTTAGATAGATATCTTCATAATTTTGACACCTTCATTCTATATAAAATTTTCTTTTTTATTGTTAGACCGCGGTGCTTGTTTGTTTTTTGACTATTTTTCTCATTTAATTCATTATATTTATTATTTGTTCCTCTTACCATCTCTTAATTAATGTTTTTTATTTTCATTACATATATAAACGCGTGAATAAATTATTTTACTAAAAAGTACTAGTTTTAGTATACGTTTTCCAGAGCATCACGCTATTGAAGAAGGAAAATTTGTGTAATATGAGGTCAAGTTTTATTTTCTAACAAGTTAACCATTCTTTTAATGTAAGAGCATTGTTATCATCTAATTATTTCTTTTTATTAAGAATAGGAAAGAAAACAAAGTTTTTTGTTTTTAAGCGAAAAAGAAAAACAAATATCCACTTCTTAAGTCTGTATAAAAAATGTCCAAAACTTGACGCGATCACGTTAGTATGTCAAAGAAAAGCCTTTTTTAACAAAAAAAAAGAAAAAAAAGAAGGCTTAGAGCAGTATTAACAATATAAGATGAGAGCAATAAGAATAATGATAAAAAGTCAGAGGAAAAGAAATAGAGAAAATAAACAATATTTTAGTATGATTTTCATTAAATAAATTATTTTCAAATAAAAACAAAACAGAATGTTAGATATTGTTTAAAAAAATCTGAAAAGCATTGGATAATGGAACAAAAAAAAAAAGAATACATTTATGGAATGAAATATTTGTTGAAATTGGCTAGTTTGGAATATTATTTCTTTTTATACACTGTTTGTTAACTATTCAAGAGTGGAATGATAGTGTTCAAAGTAAAATTATCGTACATAAAAACAAATAGATTTTGGTATAGATTTAAGTTCAATTAACAGATTTTGTTTTTTCAAATAATAATAGTAAAGTTCACAAGTTTCAAATAAAACAAAAGAAGAAAAATAAGAAAAGAGAAGATTAAATAAAAAAGAAAAAGAAAAAAAAAAGAATTTGTTCCTATCGTACGATTAGGGATAGTTTTGTTGTTCATTTTATCTATAGAGTACCATTCCATAATCTAAAACTGAAAAAAGAGCGCGTATTAAGACTTTTTTTTTTCAGACAACAACCAATAAAAAAGAAGTCGAAAGAAATCCATATAATTCAGTGATGAATTTAGCTTCTAATGTATTCCTGAATCATATCTGAATTGATCTTGCTTGATATTTTGATCTCGAACACAAATATATATACACATAACTACAAAGGCACATTGACATTTTGTACCGAACATGAGCACGATGATCAAATTTAAAACAGAACAAAACAAAAAAAAACGTCACTTGACAAAATATAACTATCCTTCTTTCGTTGTGTATATGTATTTAACATTGAAAAATTAAAGAAGATTAATTTGACTGAGAATTAGGGAAATGAAGTTATGCTAATATTTTTTGATGAAGAAAAAAAAAAATCAAAAAACTTAGTGATTTAGATCAAAAAGTTTACTAGAGATATATGCAAAGATCAAGTCAATATAATGATGTACTTTCAAGTCCCTTTCTGAAACTTAAAATTATACATGAAATTTTGACTTTACAACAGTGTCAGCAAAGAGAGACAGAAACAACAGAATATATATATATATATACATATGATAATTACATCTGACTGTAATGTATTTCGTTTCGAAAAGAAGAAAACTTGTCTGTCTGTACTAAAGGAACGAACTTTGATAATTAGTGTAAATAATACTTTTTATTATACATACCATGACTAGAGGTTTTGTCTTATTGCACTGTTTATTATTAATTTTTAATACTATATTACAGATTAATAAGGTTTAGCCATATCTTTTGGACGTTTTAATTGAACTTTTAAACGTTTCATTCCTATCTGAAAACCATTCATTGACTGTATTGCTGAATGAGCGCAAGATGGATTATCGTAGCTAACAAAACCTGAAATAAGCAAATAAACTAAATAAGTTAATAACAGAAATGAGATTATAAATAAAAATATTTAAAAAAAATAAAAAAAAATAAACTTTTGGATTGTCACATCACAACATCAAGTGTATGGGTCATTTAACCTCGAGAAGTGTGCATAAAAGAAAATGACCGCGTGTTTAATTATATTATTAAATTTATTATATTTCAGCTCCAGTAGAGTATACATTAGACGCAATTGGAAAGGTATTTTTACACTAAACACCACTTGAAATTGAGATGATCGATCCAATAATTTTGTTGCTGTTTTTTTTACTTTTGAGACTCCATCGAGACATATACAATATTCGAATAGATAATAATCCAATTAGTGTATAAACAATTTGTTCACCAGAAAAACACAATATTTGTCATAACTAACTTGCATTAATAAAAAATTCATTAATTGCAAACAAATACACATCAAAGATGTCTAACCTGATCTTCGTGCAGTTCAATTTTACAACAGTTAAAATTTTCTCTATTCTACTGTATAAATAAAGCGAATATTTGTTGCGCACAAAATAAATATAGCAAATTCTTGATTTCTCAAACTTGCAATAAAGTGAAATCAACTATAGGGACGGACAATCTGTTAGTTTCTGACATGGATGAAGCAAAAGTGTTTCATCATTAATTTGAATTTACACACACACATCTAAAGCGTATACGATGGAGCCTCAAAAACAAAATTACGAACAATTATTGTTTTTTTCTTTATTTTTTTTAAATAATATCATTTGATTTTGAACCGATCACACCAACCGTACCGAAACATTTACTCTGATTTGTTGCTCGATCGACGTACACTTTTGCACTTATAACATTGCCGAAAGGCATAAACATTTGAGCCAATTCAGCGTCACCAAATTCTTGAGGTAAATGATATATAAAAAGATTGGAATTTTCGGGTCCTGTAAAGAAAACTAAAAAGGACGGAGATGCAAAATTTCTTTCTCTTAACACTCTTTTTATTCCCTCACACACATAAAGTATCACATGAAAAATTATTTTCTAGTATTCTTATATTTTTCATATTTTATGTATAACTTTGTTTAGTACCTTCTTTTTGTAACCCCAATGTTCCTGGAATGATTGTTGTCGTTGGTCCCAATTGACTATAAATAGCTGTGGGAGCATAAATTGGCGCATATTGTGTTGGTAATGTTGTATAAGTGGCCTGTTGTAGTTGTAAACCAGTTGCCGTATCAATAGCTTGACCAACCACTATAAAATGTAACAATTCAAATATATTAGATAAATAATTATTTTTTAATTATTTTGACATACTTGGATATTGTAGACCAGATGAAAATATATCGGTTGGTTGACCATTGTGACCTTGAACAGCTGACTGAAATGCTGCAGGAGAAAGTATTGTGGGTGGACCATTATTAACTGGTGATGCATTAACTAACAAGAAAAAAAAAAAAACAAAGTTAAAAATAATGTAAAAATAAATTTAATGTGAATTACCGGTTGACGGTGTCATTGCACCATTTGTTAGTTGACCAGATGCGGTTGTCAGTACAGGAATTGTGTATGTTTGTTGTGTTGCAGTTGATGAGGCTAATAAGGCTGCCTGTTGTTGAGCAGTAACCTAACAATTATAGACAATATGATAATTTTAATAAACAATATTTATTAAGAGAGTAAATAATATTTATACCTGTGTATAGCCTTGATAATTTAAATTTGCCGCTATTTGTTGTAATACCAATGGATTTGATAATAAACCAAGTGGTCCAGCTAATTGCTGCATTCTACGTAATTGACGTTCTTTTTCTGTATCGGCAAATTTCACAACGATACTTGACGATGCACCAGAAAATGTTTGACTACCATGAACATGTTGAATGGCTTGTTGAGCTTCATTATGTGTGCTATATTTGACAAATGCACAACCTATACATATAATAAGTGTTATGACATGTATCAAATAAATTAGAAGAAGTGTGAGTCCCCAATGATTAATACCTTTACTATCACCACTTGGTCCACGAAGAATTGTACATTCTTCAATTGTTCCATATGGTTCAAATATACTTCGAACATTTTCTTCTGTCATTTGTTTATTTAACATACCAACAAATAGTTTGCGATCTTCTAGAAAAATAAAAAAAACAAAAACCCAAACGTATAATTTTAAAATGTTAGATTCTTTAATAAATAGAAACATTTATTTATTACCGGGCATTCAAACGTCTATACACCTTGTTTCCGAGAAACTTTTTCTATTCTTGTATTCCACACAATACACACACGTTTATCTTTCTCCTCTATATCTTTTATTATTATTATTATTATTTTTTTTTTGACACTTAGCACACCGTTGAAAGCTTTTATATATTATACAGTGGTACAATAGTTTACAACAAACATCTAGAAAAAGTTAAAGAGAGAGATAATCATCATATGCGCACTCAGGAAATAACAAGACAAATAATTTTTATTTTTACATTAATCAACGCATTCGTTAAATACAAGAGTTTTATAATTATTAACTATGATGTGTGTAACAAGCGTAACGGATATTCAAAGATCCGGTAAACGCAAGTTCTGTTTCAAATATGTTCACATATATATATACTGACACACAGATACAAATTTTAATTATTCATCGTGACATATGACATGTTTCACAACGAGAAATAACATGAAACATTCATCTGTTCTATTATTATTGGCGTTCTCATAATCGTTGATATGAATTCTGTTAATGAGTTTTCTTCTTCTTCTTCTTCTTTTTCTTCTTTTATTTTTTTATTTTATTTCAAGAGGGCAGTTCAGTATTCAGCCTGAATGAATATTTCATCTGGATTTGACACACGTTCAAACAATTTCAGATAAAATATAATCTCTTTCTCAAACACATTCGTTTAATCAAATGGAATTAATTAATATGACGAGAAAAACAGAGATAGACTACCGTGTTGAGTGTTGCACATAATAAAAAGTTTCAAATCTTCTCTCTTTTCTTTTCTTTTTTTTTTTTTTTTTTGTTAAAAAGCAGGAAACTATTTATGATTGACTCGCTCAACACGTGCCTTGAAGGCATTCATTACTCTGTTTTTTCTAATAAACTCACATCCCATTAAAATAAAAAATAAAAAAAACGAACAGCATTTAGGGCTTCTTTGACACGTTCAAATATAAGCCGCGTGAGGCTTAGTCGCTTAAAATAAGGAAGCAACCAACTGACAGTCTATTCTTATATGATGGATTATAGTCAATTTCTTATTCTAAATGATTTATTATGTTTCGTGCAAGATATACGAAGCTCAAGAGAATACTTCAAATCATCTGTGGTTGTAGAAGAAGAAAAAAAAATGTATGAGCATATCGTTCGTAGAGAACATTTTTAACGATAAAAATAAAAATAAAAAATAAAAATAAAAAAAATCATATTAATATCATTTTCTTTTTAAAGAAGAGTAATATAGAATTTTTTCCAAGTTTAAAAGCGATAAATAGAGCGCCGGTATTGTTGCATCGAAATATATGAAATAGTTCATATAGTTGAGCAAAAACTAATGAATAAATTTAATTCATTGTAAAAATGAATCTGTTGTTAACTAAAATAAAACTAAATATAAAAGAAACGTTATTATTACAACAGAATTAAACAAATAGTAACTGATAAATTTGAATTTTGGTTTCCTTATATTAACAGTTAACTTAAACTATGGGTAGTATTGTATCTCAATTAAAATAATATGCAAATGACTTCAATTTATATATATATATATATAAACTAACAAAAAATTCCTTTTTCATTTTAGCTGTAACAAAATCGATTAAAAAATATGTTTTACAACATTTTTTTACAGTTATTCAATAATTGACTATTTTACAATCGTCTTCTATTCTCATACGATATTTTCAATGAATCAATTATCTTCAACATTTCATTAATGCACACAATCAAACATATTTTTCAGTCATTTTTTTTATTTGGTAAAAAAAATCTCTCTGTTATATACTATAAAAATTAAAATCATTTGCTCATTATAAACAAAAGACGATCTAACTTACCCAAGTTTCTTACTCTGTTTATATTAGTATTATTAGCTACCATCATGCGAACTATGATGTTTTGAACAATTATTTTCTTTTTTATAGATGTAAGAAGAAGAAAAAAAAAAGAGAAAAAAAAAAAATAATTTAAAAAAAAAAGGGGCTATATATGTGAAAGAATAACATGGATATACACACTAGAGTCTTCTTTTTTTCTCAACCGTAAAAAAATGAATGTAGATATATTTTTCTTCTTCTATGCTGGTTTTTTTGTTTGAACAACGAAATAATAAAAAGAAAAAGAAGAAAAATTTATTCCGTGTTCAATGTATAGCATAGATAAATATAGCAGCACTATATACCTAACCCGGTCAAGTTTCTCTTTCTATCTATCGAAGTGAGACAAAAAACAAAAAAAATAAAAAAAAAAGAAGAAGAAGCGATTGTCATCTTACAAAAAAAAAAAAAAAAAAAGAGGAGAAGAAGATGCATTCATCTTAAAACGTAAAATAGCTCACCGTGATTGGACAAAATATTTCTAAACTCTTTTTACTTATTCTCTTATATGAATAAACAGGATAAAAAAAAAAGTAATTTCTCTATTAGTTGGTGTGTCCTGATGAATAGAACATAATTGCCATGATATAAATTCACCACTTGTTGTCTATGAATTTTCTACCTGTATATATTAGAAACAAAGATCCATTAAACTAATGGCCAACGTGTTTAATAAATTCTCTCGTTCTTCTATCGTACATTTATAGAGAGAAAAGACTAAACTTGATGTTTCCATCATATTTTTACAGAAACAGTCATGTTTCTTATTTTCTTCGTTCTCTCATAAGCACAAATGTTACTAATGAATAGCCACACAATAATGAATAATTCATTTAACAAATTCATATGGACACCGTAAAAAGCATACATCGAAAAATTTGAGTCAATTTAGAACGTCTATCGTTAATAAAGCTTTGTACGATTTTTCTAGGATAACACTTTTTGATCTCACTCTCTATCTCTCACATACATTTTTTTTTTTTCTTCTTCTAAAAGTAGAATGCATAAAAATTAAACAGACATGTTTAATTCATTATGGTTTTTTGCAATTAAATAATTATCTAGACTAGAACGATACTCAAGAAACTAATTCGTACATCGTATAGCATAAAAATGATTCATATTTAGAAGAGTATAGCAAAATGTTCGATTTTAACTCATTGTCTCTTTTCTAAAACATTCACTAAGTGACAATTCTTAGAACATAGCATTTTCTACAGACAAAATTGAGAAGAACATATAAAACAGACAAAGCAAAAGACTCTCAGCCATTCACTATAATAAGTCAGTGTGCTAAGCAGGCTTTTTTAAAACAAAATCTGATACCACTTCCGATGTCGATATAACTCATACGAATCGCACTATACATTGATAAGATAAATATGAACGACATTAATACTATAGTCGTACACACATACGCACACACACACATAAATAATCACTTGATAGCCGATCACACAGTTTATTTTGAAAAAACAAGACATCGAACATGTATAATCACATACTAATCAAAAATACATGTAACTCACGGTAAAAATAGTATGATCATGCTAAATGGTAAAATTGAAAATTTTTTAAAGACTAAGACAAATCCCGTCTAAAAGTTATAGAAATTACTCTAATTACGTTTTCAAACTGTTAAGTTAAAGCTTTTTCAACTCACTCACTCATTATAATTCTTCTACCATTGAAGCATATATCCGCCATGATGTGATATGTGTGTGTGTATACGTACGTATGTGTATGAACATCACGTGTAGCAGGATGAACTTTTTTCCGACATTCGTCTCGTGAATGTTTCGGAAGTATTATACTCATCCCACTTCGTAACAACTTCCTTTCTCTCCTTTAACATGTTAAAAAATTTTCTTACCGACAGAATAATCCTGTTCTGATGTATGTGTCTTATCGAACTTCATTAGCGTGTATTATATTTTATTTCTAAAATTTTTAACATCAATCATTCATTCTTTCTTTTTAGTTAAACAAAATTTAACAAAACCGTTTCGAGAGTTTAGAAAAATGTTTTACTTTTTAAAGTGTAAGAAGTAAATATTCTTCCTCTCTCATTGTCTTATTTCCGTTTTTTGTCATCAACAATACATCGTTAATTTCCTCAGGAAAATTTTTTTTTTTCTTTTTTCTTTTATGTTGTATATGACCGTAATAAAGCATAGTCTAGCTTTAGACTATATGACAAACTAAATTATATATCTCAGAAATAGATGATGAACAAAAAGGAGCATGATGGTAGTTTCAAATGGGATAGATAACGTTCCTTTGGGTGCACTCTTGTAAAAGAAGAAAAAAAAAATTCTTTTATAATTATAATGTTCACTTCAACCAACTGTGAAACAAAAATTATATGCTCTTTACATGCAGAAAGAAGCTCTGCATCTATATAAAAAACATGAGCAGATAACAAATCATCAGAAATTTGTTTGATGTTATGGGCTCAAGAAAAAACAGTCACTAAAGACGATATAGATGTGTATTATATAAATTGATTCTCGTGTAATAAGGCTCAATTAATGCGCATTCATTGCAAATAATTATTAGCCAATAGGTGACAGAACCGACGAAACGAAAATTTAAAAATAAAACAACCAATGATCTATTTTCGTGCAATGCACCAGATGCATACATTTTACAGAAAATGAAAGAAAAAAAAATAATACACGAGCAAACAACCAATCATTCTCTGATATTATAGGAGAAGAAAAAAAACAACGAAACTACTACTTGCCTGTTCGACTTTCACTATCCGCTGGTTTAACTTGAATGGGACGGCTCATCTAAACAAAGAAACAAAAAAGCAAATTAAAATATTTCATAGTACGTATACTCTTTTATTGCAATGATTGTTTACGCATAAAATATAACGAAAAGAGATCTGTTTAGATAAGAAGTGCAATGAATTAATGCACGATAACTTTGGTAGTTGTTGACTTATTATAGTTAAATGAAACTATTTCAGTTTTTTTGTGCACTAGTAAATAAGAAAAAACCTTTAAATATTGAATTTATATTTAATCATTCGATAACTTAAAATATCTAATCTCATGTCAAGCACTTCTTATTCAAATTATTTATTAATAAAATTATTGTTGTAATGTTCACCTT